CTGATTACTAACTGTCAACAGGCTAATCGGTTGCGAATGTGCAGCGTGCACCGTCTTACCCCTGTGCTACAGTGTCTCATGCAGCCAGATTGGATCTGATGCGAGCGTGTAACTTTTCATCTCCCCCCCCCCCCCACACCACACCCACACATGCCACGAGGGCGTGGAATACACGTGTTCCCACGCTTTATGATAGCACCGGAAATGAGTGTGTGAGAAATCTATCCCAAACATGTGAGGACGCGTCTGCCTTCGGGTGGCACGCGCGCACATCCAGCCCAAAGCATGCTGGGGGACTCCAACTCAGTGAGCACCTTTCCCAAATTTCGGGACTATCTCAACCGACTTCCAAGTTCAGTATGAATGCCGTGCCTGCGCAAGCAAGGCATGCGGTGGGGCCGCATCACGTGTCAACACTTTAACTCATCAGCCAGGGGCTAATGCACGAACTCTGGAAACAGCCCAAGCAAGAGCAGACTTTTAATGGGTTAATTGGGTCTCATTGACGGCGATTCGGTAAAAGTTTATGCTTATCGGTGACTCAAAAGAACCTCCAACAGTGATATGTGCCTTGCTCAGTAGTAAAAGTAATGACAACACGTACGAGTCGCTGGCAGAGAGAAGGGAAATCGTAGCATGTCAGCTTGTTCCAACTATAGACCTCTGTCGGTCGCAGAGATTACCACCACTGGGGAGCCGATAAGCTTCGTCGTCCCGCTGATAATGATAAGGCCATTGGCGTTGATTGAGGGCAATCCCATCCCCATGTGCCGAGCAGGTTGACAACGATGACGCTTCGTCTACGTGCTGTAATGCTAAATCGACTGACTCCATTCGCCATGCAGTGTATGAGACACTTGAGCTTAACATTGGTCTAAATTCGTGAAACGAGAGACCAGTGCCCTACCGTGCTAGTTTCTCGTGCTTTAGTGAACTCAAGCGGAGGTGACATTTTTTTAGCATAACCAGTGATACTGGTAAGAGCAACGACTGTTGCATCACAGACGAAAATAGTAATGGCCGCTCGTTATAAATAGTACACCAACGGAACGGAGAACTATTGGCCATAACGCCGCCCGAGAATGATAGATTTCAATGAGCAAACCATCACCGACCACACATTTGGTTTCCTGCATGGTGCTTATAATTAGCAACTGTGATTGCCACCCAACCGATTGCACTGCCAAGCGTCCACAGAACCGGCTGAATTATATTAGCAATGTCCAGTGCCTGTGGCAGCATTTGTACTGCCGTAACTGACCAAGAAACTCCACAGTGCGGGAAAACATGCCAATAGAATTTATCTTTAACCTTGTTGACCAGACGTCAGCAGAACACACAGGCATACAGGTCTGACCTTCTGACACAACCAAACAGTAACATCGCTGAGGTTGTGCCTAACCAAAATGGATGTCTCCCTGATTCATAGGATCAGATAGTTCTATGACAACTTTGTGTAGTAATCCGCATAAGTGATAGATCCACCGTCGATGAGGATGACGGAACGGCCACATTGCAGCAGTGCCTCTGATGTTCATTAGCTAAAAGCCAAATGATTTGGTAGCAGGATGAATACTTTATGATATCAGGTCATTGTGATGGTCTCAAACGCCAATTGGATTCTACGACTGGAAGCCTAAACTGAGTCGGTTGTGGTCGTTCCGGAGTCCGGATATTCACATGTTGTTCAGAGGTATGTAGAGGAGGAATACCGGGAAAAAACGTGTTGCTACTGGCCTGTTAAAGGTCGGACATAGGGGAGGTACGTATCCAGATAAGAGAAGGAGCTTTGCACTTTCTTGTGGATACGCACCGAGTCAGTCTACATGAAGTTGGGGGAAACGCTTCGATTACCAGAAAGCCAGGTGTTGCGTTTATTCCGATTATGAGTGAAACGCCTGCTAAGTCCTCTGACAGCATCCCACGACAGTTCACCGGAGTCACATAAAAGACGGCTTGCGGTAATTACTCGCGGTTCTGTTGTAATTTCAAGCATATGGATGGCCGTATTGAAACTTGTTGTTATGGGGGGGGGGTAAAAGGTTGTCACTTTACATTGAGGATTTCGCTAGGTACACATGCAGGTCTTGAGTGGAGTCTGTGCCCATTTCTACACCCTGTTTGGAGAAACGACTGAAACCGAGTTCATGCCACATGTAGTCTAGTTAAACCAAGATATCCGAATGTGTGCACCATTGTTGCAGACCATTTAGTGTCCCTACGTTGTAGTTAGAATGATACGAAAGCCAGGCTACTCTGAAGTTTGGTTGCCTTTCCGAACAACCTCCACGTGGTCCCCGCTAGAAGGTTCGGGTCTCTCCCGTTCGAGCAAATGGTTCGGCGGCAGTGTTCCATAACGTGGTGGGTTTACGCCTAGTAAGCCTTCACTCCATAAAAAGCCACATATGTCCGTGTAAAAACGCTGCGACTTGGCGGAGGCGACTCGACATTAACTAAAGTCAATGCCCCTTGCTTCACTCCACTGGAGCACTGCATGCCAGCAATCCGATGCTGACAGTATGGGGAGAATTAGGTCCCTATTTGGTAAGCAACCAGACGAAAGGTGTATAAATTGTGTAACCAGTCACCGATTCCCAATGGATGCTGTTTCCTGAATTCGTTCTGCTTCCTTGCGGTAGGATATCTAGCTAAAGGCTCGGTTGAGGCAACTGGGTAGTATCTTTCTCTCTGAATAAACCTTGGTTTCCTCTGTGTTGTGGTCTTTTTTACTACAACTGTACCTTGCTTTACTTTCCATGGTTTTTGTTGACTCTATGCGCATTCCTAGACTGTTGCAAATATATTCTTAATTTTGGCCTTCAGTCTATTCCCCTATTGTAGTTGGTGTGCGATTTTCAACTCGGGGCTGCTACATGGAAGGGATGAATATAGAATTTTGTGCAACGAACATATTACTGAAACCGGACAAGGCAAATGACATAAACACTAAATGTAGCTTATTTCTTACAAATATGCCTACGAATCTGAACGAATAGGAACGGCGCAACGTGGAGTGCGTCGGTGTAAACACACACACACACACACACACCAACCCGTTAGCCTAACTAAATCCGAGCTCTGTTTCGAGGTCCGTTTAGGGCTTGAGATTCACTGTACTGACAACTTGGACGACTTTCTTCAGTTGTGGGTGGGCTACAGCTTCCACAATGACCACATAGCATAGGTTACTAGTATTCCCATTGGATGCCGCGGGGCTCAAGGAACAACGCAATGCCAAGGACGTAGCAAGCACTGATGTTGAACGCATTATTGCCATCACCGTCGCATCCAAAGTATTCACACGCGACATAACGTAGCTGCTCGCTAGTCCCCTATAGAGCCGAATTAGTGGATACCAGATTGGCCATTGCTGTAGCGGAGACTGCGTCGACACCATACTCTAAGTTCACCAAACATTTGAGTGGCATTCACACTTACAGGTTAGCGTACTACGGATTAACGTCCTAACAATCGACTTTGTCTCGGCTGATAACATATGTTGGTGAATATTCGTAAGATGGACCAATGTACCGGGGTACCTTTCCAATCTTAGACAGTTTACAGAGAGCGTGTAGGGGCCCTGGATGACGGTGTTGAGAGTGCTCGGAAACCACTCTGATGCGCCGGCACTGTTTCACTACCTTTTTCATAATCAACCTGAAATTGAAAGTAAACGAATAACTATCCCTTGTTTTTTTAGGATTGGAAGTGCAATTGAGTGACTGATTGAGCAATGGCGTAGACGCTGTGCCAATGTCGGGTTTGGACTCAGCCAACACAGAAGCTGTTCGATATTTCGGGTGGGGCGCAGCACGCACCTACGTGTACTTGCAGGACTGCGTCAACACGCTACTGGTCGTCCTACCCACCAAACAAATGCTCGGTATAGGCTTATCTGCTTAGCGCGTATCACCTATTGTGCCCATCCATAATGATCGTGTGGCCTTCGAAACCACATTCACCGACGGGGACGGCATGTCACTAAGCGATTGTTAGAAAGCTAGTGTACAGTGTAGCAGCACGACAAGGGTTACGGTGTAGAACAGTGACGTCACATCTGAGGACACTGAGAACAGAGACAGCTTCCGCAAGAAACCTCAGTTTCACGATGTATTACTAGTCCCGAACACAGTGGCGTCATTCGAAATCTCACGCCGTGAGATGTGAAAAAAGTAACTAAACGGTTACGCAGGAAAATTCGTTTTTAGAAGACATTTTACTGTGCAGTTGGATTAGACAAAACTTGCATGCTGCTACAGGTCATGGAGTAGAAACAGCTCACTGGAAACGAGGCATTCCTGCAACACCCTCGTAGGTGCGCCGTTCTCTCTCCGTGGGTAACCTGAGTCGGATGGCAGTTCATTCCACTGAGCTAGGGGTTTACGAAGTGTACAGAAGAGATCTAAGCCATTTTGTGGCACCTTGGAAGGTTTTATACGTCAACAGACCTATGTAGGCAATCACTGAACTTTGTGGAGAATAACCACCGACGTTTCATTATGATTTGAACAGCCTTAGGTGGAAACACTGTGTGACATGGTGTATGATCGGAGAACTGCTTTCCAGAGTGCATCTACAGCATTAAGTATACGACATACTGTTCAGTACGTGCCTGTGCGTAGCGGGGAAGGGGGTAAATGGACTATGACTATGGCTCCGCAAATACGCGTGTATTGAGCAAGGAGTTTACGCTGTCCAGACGACGGGGTTAAGTGTTACCGAAACGAATATGGGAAAGAGCTACGCACAGGGGTTTCGTATATCAGGCAATTGTAACGAGGTATTGTGAGGGTCTGTGGTGACGCACGGCTGCGAATTAACTATGCTCACTTACCTCGCGTGAACAGGTGCGGAGCTCCATATTCCCATTTTCACGTTTCTGTATTCTAGTGGGAGTTTAATTCCCGACTAACAAGCTGTGTTAGAACGACGATGCAAGATCAAGTGTGAAAATAACAGCCATTTTGGGAAACATGTAGAGATCAAACGGGCTCACTTACGTTGTCCTGTTTGAACTGATACAAAGAACCCAGACGGGGCCGTTCGTACACCAGTCCCACATCGATTGGCTTGGGCGGTCTGGAAGTGGTGTTGGCATCCAGAAGTAGAGCCAGTGGACTGCGGATGTGCGGATGTTGGAGTCGACTGACGAAAAGGGACGGCGGATCAATTGTGCCAAGGATAATCTAAAGAAGCGCAATTATCCATTTCGCAGTGTATGCGCAGGTAGCATCTGGTTCGTTGACTTAAATCCCCTACGGCGATGTGGTAAATCGGCGGAAATTGAGATGTATAGAGTGAAAGATAACCTAAATCCACTGACACAAAAGCTGGCTCATCATTCCACTTCATTTTAATGCACTTCACCGCTGTATCCAGTAATTTCCTGACAGTCTATGCAACTGTTGCATTCACTAAAGTCGGTTTAACTGTTAGCCGATACTGTGTTGTATGTGGCTCGACTGCATTGGATGGGTGACGCAAACGGAACTCATTCGTGTCTAGTCCTGATGACCTTGTCTCCTTTGGTAAGCCTCGGGTGAGCACTTGTATCCAACTAGCTAAGCAGTTAGTTTTAAGGTGCGTGTTTTCAATGAGTAGTTACTGAACATGGTATGGTTAAGTACTCGTTTGTTAAACTATACTGACAACATTCTGGATGCTTACATTCCATCACACCGTTTCGTCGTGTGTTCAGACCAAACAGGGATTTTGCCATGTTCGAAGCAAGCCGAATGCTGTAGTGCTACCAACACAGTTTGATTTTTACGAGCCATTTCCTCATCTTCCTGCTTCTGTGCATTATCTGCTGAAGTCCACAAGCCTCAGCCACGTACTTTCCTTTAATAGCCATCTACCGATATAGATGTCCACTATGACCTCCAAGAGGTGATCGCTTTCCATTAATCTCTAATTATGCTACTTCAGCAGAGTTCTAATGGTTTCGTCTCCTGAACCTATAAATTCATCCTAACGGTACATAACAGACGGCGACCACTGGTATCTCTGTCATAAGAGCCCAGTTGAAGGGAATGGCATAAGCGAATTTTGCCTACTTCAATAGTCAGAAACGGAAATTCAACAAATAATGTGGGACAAAATGTGTTTGTTTAGCCGAGACTCAATTGCTAGCCATGTTGACAGATGGCTAGTTGAAACTGCTGGCCCCTGAATATTTTTGTGGTCCTATTTAAGATACTGTATTTGAGCTGTTACACGTGTTGGTTTGCTCATTACTAAACGCCAGTATATGAAACCCATCATGGTCAACTGTGCACAACTACAAGGAATTCCATAATTCACACCATATATATTTACCTTACTGAGCAGTTTGCAAAAGTCCAACACGACTTACCCGACAATCTGCAACTCCCGAGCCAATCGATATTCAAATATGGAACGCATGTCTTTTGATGAATGCGCTTTGGATAAAGATTCCTGGTCGGTGCAGCGGACGGAGATGGCAACTCCTCGCCACTTGCCACTGGAAAACAGATGGGTGAGTATGTGTATTCAGTGCTTGAGTGCATTGTGATTTGAGCGCAAAAGGGAGCAACAAAGCCATAAGAAACTACTTTTTCGAGACCCGCTAGAAGTTGCTTCAGACTGTAGCGTGCTGTAGAGCCAACGTACGTCGTCAAAGGGCTGTTTCACTCTCCATATCAGCTTTGGCCAAGAACCGTGTGATTGTACAGCAGTTGTCATAAATAAATAAAGTTTTATTCTCGACAATGCGAGGCACACGTTTACAGGCATGATCATGTTGAGCTAACTTAGTGTGATCAAAAATGTACAAAAATGCCTCTTGGCATAACAGTGCGTGTAGGTGTATGCGTGTACGCACCTATGTAATTGTGTATGAATGTAGCTGTGTAGCTTGTGTTTGTGAATGTGCCCCAGCACTTTTGACTGTATGTAATCGTCAGGAAGGTAAGGATAAGCGATTGATATCCGTGGGTTGGATAGCATTTGCCGGACATCCACAGCGCAGTGACTTTAGTTTGTGGCGAGTCACACCCGGCAGGTCGCAGTGTTGATAAGCAGATATTCGTGGCTTTTTATAGGGAGAAGGCTTGCCAGGCGAAAACCCACCACGTAATGGAACACTGCCGCCGAACTATTTGCTAGAACGGATTAAACCCGAACCACCCAGCTGTTACCACGAGGAGGTTTTTCGGCTAGCCTGCGTGGCGACCTAATAATCGCCAGTCAGGTTTTGAGGAACCCCAACCACATTTGACACAGCATACTGCAACAAAGTCACAACACGAACGTGAGGGGCCACCAGTTAGAGTTAGCCGTGGAATACAACCGGCTAGACTGTCGACGAAACCGTTACTCTCTTCGTGTTTGCCAGACATGGATCGCCGCCCCCCCCGAATTATGTTGTTTCTGTCCCCAACTTATCTGTGCTTACAAGACGACCTAACGTTGCTATAACCCACGTACATTACGAGATATATCCTGTGTACAATGACAGACGATATAACGCGTCGAACATTGCACCCTTAGCATTACCATACACATCTGACAATGAATCTTTTCTGCATGCCTCTGTGTAAAAACTATGGGGATTCCAACAAAACAATTCGTTTTGTCACCGTGTCTTCTTTTCACCATTCTAACCGTCCTGCGGAACTTGTTAAGCATTTGCTTTTATTTATACCATTAACACATCATTGTTTCACTGTTTTATCGGTAACTCATCCATGGACTAAGTTTCAAAAAATCGTCTTCTCGGCTCTCCTCATCCACAACATCAAACTTTTGCGCGTTTTGGCAACTGCGTCATCCAATGCAAGCAACACTTGCGTAAAGCTGGGGTCAAGTAAGGACCTGTGGTTAGTTTGCAACAAAAGAACGGCAACTGCATTTCCAACCCATCGAGTACCTGCCGTAGTTGGATGTTGACTTATTTGCGTATCTCGACAACTCGCTTGCAGGTGACTTATTACCAGTCAAGTTGACATCCACAGTGCATAACAGCTGCTTCGTTGACGAGCAGACTCTCAAGTGAATTTGGAGGCGGATCAATTGATACAAAAAAGCTTTCATGCAAAAATTGCTTAGCTCGATGCAGAAGTTACAATCTCAGCGCTCAAGCAGTGTTGCCAGTTTATCGACTTGTTACCCCATTCATTTGTTTATGACACGGTTTACTTTGAAATAACCTCCGTTTAGTTGCAGCCCGCGGATTTAAGAAGAAGTAGAAACTTTAGCATCTTCACTACTGTTCACAAGGGTTCTGGCCTTTGCTCAGACTTCTGTCGTTGGGCTGGTGAGAAGTCGGAATCCACTTTAGAACTACCTGCGCGCTAGCTGGTGCGCCGTTGCAAGACAATCAGGATCAGAGAGCAACTGAGTCGCGCAGTTCAATGAGCAACGCAATAATTCACCTGCACGAGATGCATGACACGTCGGTTTGGTGTTGATCGTAGGTCTCAGTGTATGTGCAGTGTACTTGGACTGCATCACGCAGTCGCAATTTACCAAAGTGGGTGGCTACGCCGGCTTCACTTCTGCGAGGAGCTAGTTATCGTCACTATTCAAATAAACTGAGATGAAACTACTTCGTTGTTAGTGACACAAAATGTACCTACTTGAACAACAAACATTTGACTGAAACCATCATCATCATCATCATAATCATCATCATCATACATGTCAGCTAGAGGTGGTAAAACACCTCCGCTACTGTACCGCAATACATAAAGGAAATACATACATACAATACATAAAGGAAAAATAAATACGACAGTCGCATGCCAGCTGAGCTACCAGCAACGGATAGGCATGGTTCCGGTAAGCTACCAGCCAGCTACTAGGCAAAAAATTTATTATTTATTTTGTTTTACCCTACGAAATGAGATCGTAGATGGAGGGGGAGGCTAAAAGGGATAGGGAGGGACAAAGAAACTCACAGCACGAACGCCACTGTGTTTGGCTCCTTGCCAATTTAGCAAGTGTATCCAGTGAAACCAGTCATGAGAGTTTGAGCAACAGCGCTAAATGACTTTCATTAGAACGTCAGCTTTCTGACAAAAGCACAAAATCTTGACTGTTAAGACCTGTTATTAATCGAATGTCCCCGCTGTTGCTTTCAGAGTTCACAATGACCATAAGAACGATGCATTTGATGCGGCCAGCGACGGTGTGAAGTAACTTGCCGGCTAATTTTCTGTTGCCATAAGTCGCCGTGTAGGTCAAATCCCTCCCAAATTCTCCACGAAATGTTGTCAGATGCCCGGCGCACACTCATCCATGGTATGCACAACCAGTCGGCAGTCACTGTTGTGCAACTCATGCTGCAATGAAACACGCCATTTGCAGTGCTAAGGACATTTCGTCTGTACAAACAATTAGTTGTTTCCCTTCCCTACTTGTTTTTCGTTCTTGACCCAATCTACTGGCTGAAGCCTATCCAACACAGATATGCATACCCTTTCTGATCCCATCCCTATTCGGTGCACTCAGTACATGTGCCAGTTCATGCATACGATAGACTATTATTCACTGAAATTCGCAGTGTTGACAATCATCCACCTATTCGGGTACTTGCGCACAGTGGATTATCCCATTATGATACGTACAAAATGTACGGTGGCTTTGCTCTAAATCGAGACTGATTGCAACTCCATCTATTTGATTGCGCTTTTGTTGACTGGTCCTTCTACTTGGCTCCGTTGGTCAGCCGCTTGGCATCCCAGGACAGAGTTGAGGTGCAATTTGCGGTCCGGATATTGTTAAGGTCAGTGCTTAAATTGGTACTTTAATCCTTTGTAAAATAGCCCCGTACCTCATTCTCAGCTTTGAATTTTGAGTCGATCTCGCAATCTACGATTTGCGCAAATCCAAGACTGATTTGTCGGTTAAAGCAGACTTCCATTTTTAGGTAAACAAATGAGGTTAATTTGTGGGAATGCTGTCAGCCGTTCGTAGAAACCACGCAACAGTCATTTCAAGCACTCCAATGGACACAATCAATTCCGTTACCTTAGGACAATCTGCCTTTCAGCCCCGTGCCCAAGCTCTGAAAGTTACGGATATTGGAAGTATGCAGTGTTACCAGTTTATGAACAAGGCATAGAGATCGTCCAACCGACGTAGGAGAACTGAAGTATGACTTCTACAACTGCTACAACAATCTAATCTCTAACGCACTCCTTGCCTCGTCTAAACTGTTTGCAGGCTCACTGCCGCCTATCGACAGTGAGCCAGTGCACTAGTTACTGAAACAGACGCATTCAGGAAAAAACAGCGGTCCGGACCAATTGTCTCCAGTTGTTCCCAAAGAATGTGCTGACTACCTAATCAAACCTTTAGCCACTTTATATACAGTTCGTATTCAATGAGACAAAGTTGTTGACTGCTGGAAAAGTGTCCGTATCACACCAATACCAAAAAGAGCTCCAGCCACTGTCGGCCAAATGTATGTAATTCGCTAGGCTTAAAAGTTTTCGAAAAATATAGTTATGAGTAGTTACCGACACAGAAGCGATCCTACGTTTCTCTTCTATTTGCTTACCGCAGTTCGAGTTTAGCCTAAGACACAGCAGCCTGCTTCATGCATTCGACTCTGTCATCACTGGACAATAGAATCAAGTGCTCCCGGATCTGTTTTCTGAACCATAGCAAGTAATTCCGCTGCGTAAACCGAGAATTACTGTTGCAACGTCCGCTCGTTGTTGGAAAATCATTCTATCTTCCTTCTGTTGCGGGGTTATTTTGCTTGTCTTACCAATGTACTCGACTAGGAAGCAGAAGCGCTTTACCGATAACGATAGATACCGGTATTCTTCAGTTACCACTTCACTTGCCACTTACATTGATTCAATATTAGTCACTGAGTAGTAGGCTTTACTACACAACACGGAGGATATTGTCCTGCGCGTTAATCAATCGAGCACTGCCTCTTCATTCAGAGTGTAAGAAATAAAGAAATAAATAACTAAGCCGTTGTTCTCGACGATGCGAGACTCTCCTGTGTCGGCGCGATCGCGCAAGTGCATAATTTTATAGTACAGGTTAAAGCGGAAAACTAACAATCAGATAAAATAGTGGCGTTCGAAGGGACAGCAAAAGCATACTTAGTAGTTGTCTGAAACTAACTGATTTCGGCTAGACTTTAGCCGCATTCACACATTGTTGCCGTCATCAGTGTCCGGATTTGCATGTCGCTGTGGCTTCCAAAGCAATGTGACAGAACGTCTCGCAAAGTGGAGAATCATGGATGGTGTGTACTGCACCACATAAGATAAAAACAACTGCCTCACAGGAGAGAGTATGTAGGGGAACACGTGCTGGATCTCATCAGTTTTTTGAAGCCACTTTATCCTAATTTGTGTATCACTCGCACAGTTGGTCGCAGGACATGAACGATTTGGGATTGAAAAGATTTCAAATTCAAGGGACTTCATGCGCTGTGCTTACAGTTCTGAAGAGTTGCATCTTCCGAGCGTGCTTCAGATTGTTTCACAGTGCAAT